CACATTACTTGTAAAAAATTGATTAGACATGTAAAATTCATGCGAGACAATATAACATTAACGTTTATTGATTGAAACACTTGACGGGCAATTAAATTATCATACTTGGGTAAATTTCTGATCATGACTTTACCAGCGAATTGAAACTAATTCTAATTAGTATCGTCGTTTCGCCATTGGATGGCAATAGTGTTCAATGTGTCCATCGATTGATCAAATTTTCAAAAGACAAAAGCTCTCACTTCGATAAAGGATCAATCTATGAACTTTTTTGACTTTCTAGTTGAAGTAGCAAACTTCTTTACTCTATCAATTTACACGAAGATTTAACAAAGTGCAATAAATTGTTCCCCGGAAAAAAATGTTTGCTGGCGATCAGTACGTCTGACAACAAAGTATTTAAAAATCCGGCCACAAGTTGGCGCCACTTACACTTCAAACAACACAGATTCTATGACGACCCCAAGCGGCGAAACGGTGCACTGTTATTGAAACATTTACGTTTCCGTAATAACTAATTATTAACAGTTTTGGAAGTTTTAGTCGAAATATCTTTCTCCTCTCGATAACAATAAAAAGGCTATAGAATAATACGTGACAACTTTTAACAAGCGTGAATGTAATTCTGGGATTTGTTTAGTCGTATCGCGTGTCGTACAACACGCTAGGGGTACGAAATACGTTCGATCGTATGGCTGCCGTGACGTCATATCCGTTTGTTTACGATTAGCGCACATACACGTTACGATTAACTCGAATTACTCGGCGAGAAACACGCCTGTGTTCCCCTATCGTTTTAGAAGACCCGGCCGTCTTTATTAAACATTTATTTTTCATCATTGTATTTACTCGCATATAATTACGTTTCAGGAAGGAGGAAAGTTCTCAATCACACAATTATTCACTACCCACACGCCTCGATACTGCAGCACCACGATTGATAAACGTAGCGTTTTAAATTAGAGGCGTGCATCGAAGGAGGTGGAAGCATACCGCTGGAATCTAAAAGGGAAAACGTTCGACGAAGCGATGCAAACGTTTTGTTTTATGAATTTCCCGATAAGATACGCGCGTTACATCACCGTTGTAATTGCATCGCACATCTACGCCTGTGGCGTGCTCGTATCAACACGAGCTAGACTTTGTACCTTCCGCGAAACAATTGCCAGGTTTTATCGTCCGAAGGATTTCCAATCGTTCCTATCCCTGCAACGTTAATTCTCGTGAGAGATTCTCGTTCACGTAGCTACACTAGCGCAATCTTTGAACAACCCTTTTAGTTATATCGGCCCTCGGTACTTACGTTCGCGAAAAATGCCGATCGTATCGGCCTCGTTTGTTTACGTTCAGATAATCATTCCTCTGAGTGTCAAGTGGCCTTCGCTCGCACTTACAATTTATATAATCTAACTGTACAAGTTAGACATTTTATAATCGACACACCAGTCGAAATGACTGGTTTTACAATTTTTTCTTTTTTTTTTTTAATTTCTGTTTCACGTTACATTTTTTTTTTTTTTT